CAATGCGGCGTCAGTTTCATCTTACAAGCGAAGCAGTAACATCTAGAGAATATGCCAACCCCTAGTGTTGGTGAAACGTTGAGAACTAATCTCAGAAGACAACGCCCTAACAGTCCGAACAAACAATTTAACAAATTAAAATTCACTTGTTTTGACGATCAACTTTATACAGGATAAAACAAAAACAAATATTTCCTAGCTTTGTTCAGTTGGATAAATTTTCTATCTCTAGTATTCTGAAAAAACAACGTTTGGTATTTAATGCTGAACTAATATATTACGGGCCTTCTCCTTTTTAAAGAAAATATGGAAACAAAGAACTTTTAGAACTTATAAACACCGGATTATGGCACTACTTTCAATTAAAAAATTGGATTTATTTGTGCAATTAGATCAGTATTCAGTTCACTATTCTAGAGCTGTGAGGCAATGAATTAACGAATAGTTTCCAAATCTGGTAGTTTGGAATGGTATGGCATGCATGTGCAGAATTTACCAGTAAATAATCAAAAAATACTTGTGGTCTCACATACCTGTGATAGACCACATGTATGCGAATATTATTCGAAATATATATGCGGAAATGCAACAGCAACTGTAAACCTTCATTAGAAATCTGAGAAGATAAAAATTGGCGCAGAGGGGTGCAACAGGAACATACTTTGCCGCCAAAGCTATTTATAGTACGAGAGATACTGCAAATTTTCCCGCGCGCTTCAATTTGAAGTTCCATTCTAAAAAACAACGGAACTCGGACAGTATTCCCCTCCACTTTTCTGTGGTGGGGCTCCACAATAATGAAAATATGATTTTAAGAAGAAAATGCTAACTTGGTATTACGAACACTTATATTCGAGTTTTAAATGCAATTCTTGCAGATTTTTATCTGTGGCAGCTTAGAAATAAAACAATAATTAACTTAACATTAACAAAACCAACAACCAACCAACAAAACAAAAAACCAACTAGAAAAATTATTTTAAATAATTAAATTAAAATTAAAATCATTTTTAAAAAAATCTCCAATTAAATGTTCGAACAAACCACCATTTTGCGCCAAACAAAATCCGAATCTATCAACATTACAGAAAGCAAGTCTCATTGCATTCAGCTGATTTGGCTGTACCCGACTACAGAGTTGAACAATTTTTTCTTGCAATTCTGCTAAATTGGTGGCTCGTTCGAATTCATTCCGATACAATTTTGATTTTAGCATTCCCCAGAAATAAAAATCCAAAGGTGCTAAATCTGGTGATCTAGGGGTCATTTTATTGTTCCTCGTGTACAAATTAATCGTCCAGGGAATGTTTGTTCCAAATAATTTGTAACTTGGATTGCATTATGTGCTGGACAACCATCCTGTTCAAACCAGACATCATCGAAGTAGACCGCAAGGTTTCGAACTGCTGGAATAATCGGATTGCGTAATAGATCTAGATACTCACTCAATTATACAGGGTGACAATTCTCAATTTTCAAGAAAATACTATATTATTAACATCAAAATGAAGCTTATATTATCCCATTCACAATCTAATTAAGTATGGAAAATAATGTCATCAAGATGGTGACCATCACGTTTGATGCATTTTTTGATATTCTTTATGAAATCCTTCATAACACGCTCTAACATCGTTCGATCAATAGTCAGGATTTCCTGGCAAATTGTGTTCTTTAACTCGATCAAATTAAGAGGCTTGCTAGCCTCGTATACATGACTTTTTAAATATCCACATAGCAAAAAAATCACAAATTGACAGGTCTGGAGACCTTGGAAGCCGCGGCAAATCTCCGAAACGTGAAATGAATTGTACTGGGAACAGGTTGCGGAGAATATTCTTTAAATCATGGGCAGTATGTGCCATTGCACCATACTGCTGAAACCACATATTTTTTTATTATCTCGGTTTTTTATAGCGTTCTCCGCCTTTCGGTTCCCAGTTTCCAGCTACGTCGGTCATTCCATTCGCCAGGGTGAAGGTTTCTTTCCGACATTGCCTTCTGAATGCCGCCCAGCCAGGATCGTTTTGGCCTTCCTCTCGTCCTTCTTTCCCTTGGCGACAATTTTAAAATTTGGTTTGGCAGCCTGTCGTCGTCCATTCTTTTCACATAACCATACCAGATCAGTTATCTCCTTTGAAACCACATATTCCTTGGGTTTATCCCTTGGGTCTGCGTAGTTCTGGAACCAAAAAATTTTGGATCATGTCAACGTAGCGAACAGAATTAACGGTGATGAAAAAAGCCTCTTCGAAAAAAATATGGCCCAATAATGCCAGTCGGACCAATGGCACACCACACTGTGACTTTTTGAGAATGTAAAGGACACTCATGGAGATTTCAGGAGCCCAGTACCCGTAATTTTGTTTATTAAAAGTTCCGTCCAAATGGAAATGAGCTTCGTCGCTCATTAGAAGATGCTAACATCCTCCAAATGAACTTGCATTTTCGTAGCGAAATCCTCACGTTGTTCAACATCTATTTCCATTAATTCCTGGACAATCTGCAATTTGTAGGGGTGAAATTTTAGGTCCTTATAAAACATTTTTCTAAACAATTGCCGATTTAGCTCAATTGTATGTTTTCGGGCGGACCGTGTAAAGCTTCTGACGACGGCATCTCTCACTCTCTGTATGTTTACACTAGCTGTATGTTTACAGAGGTTCTGACTATTGTATTCGGACCTTGTTGCTTTTTTTTCATGGCACTGCCAGTTGTTCTAAAATTCTTTATCCATCTTAAGATTGTGTTGCGAGATAAAACCGCTCCACGCCTACCAATATTAAAGCGAGTGCGAAAAACCCGCTGCATAGTGATCACTGATTCTTGATTTCGGATAAACGTATCGTATGCAAACGTGCGATGTTCTATCGTCACTGCTCCATGTTTACTGAAATGACACACTACTAAAGAGCTAGTAACGTCGCGCTTGTCCCACTCTCATCCCCTCAAGCTTCGTACTATGCGTTCTAAAAACATCCAGCTCCCGATTGTCACCCTGTATTATCGTTATAAAGTCCAGTCCACACATTTAATTTCTTTGGGTATTGTGTTTTCACAGCATGTTTATTTTCCCTAGACCAATAGCGAACGACAGATGGATTATGACGTTTATGGATTGTGAATGAAGATTCATCGGAAAACAAAACTTTTTTTAAAAAGTTATTGTGCTCATTCGATTTCTCCATCATAGTTTCACAAAATTCCATACGTTTAAAATGATCGTCTGGAAAAAGTTCTTGGGTGGTTTGTACATTATAGCAATTGTATCCATTTAGTTTTAAAATATTCCTTACAGTTCTCTCTTTTAGGCAAACTTCGTCCAAATTTGTCTACTCGAACAAGGCGTTTCTGCAGCAGTTGCACAAACTTGCATTTCGCGAGCTTCACGTTCAGCAGAGATTTGTTTCGATCGTGTTTGATCGGTCGGACGATATTTCATATAAGTATTTATGCAACAGCTAGTTATCAAAATTAGAAAGACGTCATATCTAGGACACATAATGCGCAATAGGGAATTTGAGCAGCTCCAGGTAATATTAGAAGGCAAGATTGAAGGTAAAAGAGCCATAGGACGAAAGAAAAAATCTTGGCTACAAAACATCAAAGATTGGATCCACACAAGAGGAAAAGAATTAATTCATCAAGCCCAGAACATACGTAAATTTGTCATATTGATTGCCAAACTCAACAGAGAAGGCACTTAGGAGGAGGATTTATGGAACCGAAATTTTCAAAGTTTTTAATAATTGATTGTACTGTTTTCTCTGTTAGAATTGGGCGATTTTCAAAAGCAGCAATAATTTACTGTATTATTTCTACAATAGAATGATTCACATAATACCATTTTCCCATTTGAATCTTTTCTTCTCGAAAATATACGCTTGGCATGTTAATTATTTTCCAACCTTTTACCACCACAGCTAAAAATCCTATAGATATACCATAAACCTGCTGCACAAACAAGCACCGCATATTTTGAGGAAAAATCATGCACTCGTAAAGGGGTACACCGTTTATACTATCGGTCTATCTACTGAAGTACGTTGTTTATTTAGCTCACGCTGTTCTCACATATAAATTTCTCGATTCAGTGTTCTGTGTTAATCAATCAATTAAGGATATAATCGTTTAAAAAATAGCAGTTACATGATTACTTCATGTACGTTTTTTTGGGACAATATTAATTTTCAATCTACAATGAACTGTCTTCTTCAAATGCCATCTCCGTGGCGGAGGTCGGCAATCATCAAAGCTATTCGGACTTTTGAGACGGCTACTCTGAAAAGTTCATTTGATCTATATCCGTACCACTCTTTCAGGTTGCGCAGCCATGACATTCTACGCCTCCCTATGCTCCTTTTTCCTTGAATCTTTTCCTACATAATCAGTTGGAGCAAGGTGTATTTCTCTCACCGTGTAATATGTCCAAGATATTCCAATCGAATTACAATAAACTGTAGTGGATTTAAATATTCCACTACAGTTTATTACTCGTGTACACACTCGTGTATCCGACTAATATTTTAGAACGAATGATGTAACAGAAATTTTGCAACACTGTATAAAAGTTAGACTCGCTACTCCAACATGGATTGGATTGTGTCCAACGTGGACTGGATTTTGTCTCATTCGTATTCAAACAATTAAGTGTTACCTTTTTTCCACATACTGAATAACGTATAAGGTAGTTGAAAAATTGACATATCGGCTGCCAAAAGTTGCCACATAGAGTTCCTTTGATTCTTATGTCAAAATCTACCATATTTAATGGGGAAAATTTAAGAAAATTGTTTCGGAACCATATTCTGTAAGGACTTACTAATATTCACTGACTATGATTATTTTATTATATATATATATATATATATATATATATATATATATATATATATATATATAATGTACTATACAAATGAAGATTACTTCAGAAGATTGAATATCTATAAACAGACAGAATCTTTAAACACCTGCAAATAACAAAATCGGAAAACGTAAATGGTTTAAAAATATTATATTCAACTCAATTATATACAATGTAATAAGTAATAAAGTTATGTTGACTAGAAATGTATAGCATAAAGGTTTTTTGAAAAAGGATATTATATCGTCCAAGGTGGATGGCCTCCATTTATATATAAAACATACATAAATCCATCTTTACATTTTCCTTTGATAGAATAGTAATATGGTAGAAATCTATGTAACCTAAATCTGGAAACAAAAAAATAATATGAATATAATAAAATTATAGAGTAGTGAACGGGTTAGTCTCATAAGATTATGCAATTATCTTCATGTTCATTATATTCAAACAACTATACTGCGCGTCTTTGAAGTGGGTAATTAGAATTACTCAAAATAAAACAAAATATAAGCAATAATTTTTCATAATTATATTTAATAAATAAAACTTGAACTAAACGAATTATAAAATTTTAAAAATAAAATTTAACATTGTATCATGTATCATAAACATAAACATTGAAAAAAATTGTCATACCAAGATTTTTTAAATTGGTATTTACAAAAAAAGTAAAAATATCGCAGAATTCATTATTGGCCCTTCTAGTTAATATCTGATAGGACATATCTGCTTTGTAATACTGTAGTACTACTCTAGTGATTCTCAGACTCAGTAATCATATAAAAAGTTGATCTAAAACTTGCGGCTCTTCTCTTAGACCTCAGAAAACTCTTTAAGTGGCATTGGAAACGATCGATTACGGTCTTTCTTCTTTTCTTCTTTTGGCATCATAACCCTGGATGGGTCTTTGCCTGTCTGGCTATATCCTTCCATTCAGATCTCTCTTGTGCCCTTCTTCTCCATTGTCTTATGTTCATTGTTTTCAGGTCGTCTTCCACGTCATCCAACCATCTCGTTCTGGGCCTTCCTTTTTTTCGCCTTCCTATGGGCTTCCATTGTAACATTTTCTTTGTTGTTTTTGCATCGTTTTGTCTCTGCACATGTCCCAGCCATGACAGTCTTTGACTTTTCACAAATCTTACAATGTCATAACCTTCATTTAACTCATTAACCTCGTCGTTTCTCCTGATTCTCCATGTGCCATCTTCCTCTTGTACCGGGCCATATACTTTCCTCAGTATTTTTCTCTCGAATGTCCTGAGTTGGGCTTCATCTTTTTTCGTTATTACCCAAGTTTTACATCCATAGTTTACTACCGGTCTAATCAGTGTTCTGTAGATAGTCATTTTGGTTCTTTTGTCTAATAATTTCGATGTCATCAACCTTTTATTAGCATAGTATGTACGGTTCCCGCTGGAAATACGTGCATTAATTTCGCTACTTATGGAGTTATTCTGATTGATTTCTGTGCGGAGATATGTAAAGGCATCCACTCGTTCGATAGTATAGTTGTCTATTGTGATATTATTTTCATTGTCAGTTATTCTTTTGACTGTCATATACTTCGTTTTTGCTTCGTTTATTTTGAGACCTCTTTTTCTTGCTTCATGAACAATTTGTTTGAACACTTCCATTAGTCGTGGCTTATTCCTACTAATGATGACTACATCGTCTGCATATGCAGTAATTTGTACTGATTTGGTGTTTATATGGCCGGTTATATTGGTTTTTCTGATGACTGCCTCAAGAACTAGGTTGAATAGCATGGTTGATAGGGCTTCTCCCTGTCTTCACTCCCATGTTGATGTTAACAGGGGAGTCAGTTCTCCATCAACTCTGACTGCGGCTTTTGAACCCTGCAACGTCATTTTTATGAGGCTGATGTATTTCTTAGGTTATACCTAGATTACAAAGGTCCTTCCAGCATTCTGTCTCTTTTCACACTATCAAAAGCTTGTTTAAAGTCTATATACATATTATATAGGTATATGTCGTATGAATAAGCTTTTTCTTGTATCGTTCTTAGTATGAATATGTTATCTGTAGTGGCTCTATTTGGTCTGAATCCATTTTGATAATCACCAATTATATTTTCGGAGTATTCTAATAATCTATCCTAATGCAATCATCTTCAAGAACAAAATTTGGACCAAACTGACGAACAACAATCCAACAATCGAATGAATGACTAATGTGGCATATTTTTGACTATTAATTGTTTGCTTGACAAGAATAAGTAGCTTCGTATGGAAGTCCAAAGAAATTCTACCCCGACAAATGCAACACCTGGAGCCATACTTTGTTCGAGATGTCTCTTCACTTTCTTTTCGAGTCAGAATACGACCATATGAATAATAAAAGGCAAAGTTACACCTTTGGGTACGTTCAGACGACTTCAGCGGCTGGACAGCTGACTAATCGGTAGCGTTCAGCCGATTCGATGACAAGCAGCTGGACTGGAAGTTAGCCGCTCTTAAATTTTCTCGACATACTTTATTTCCACTATATAATCACAGCGGTTGCTTGAATTACAGAATGCTTCAAAGCAGAATTTTAATTAAAAATTTCGATTGATCTAAAAAATGGTTTTACAAAGTACAGTTTGATATTCTTCTTCTTAGGGTGCCTGTTCGTTCCGAACGTTGGCGATCATTCTGGCTATACTGACTGGCGTTTTACAAAGTACAGTTTGATATTCTTCTTCTTAGGGTGCCTGTTCGTTCCGAACGTTGGCGATCATTCTGGCTATACTGACTTTGTTGGTTGCTATACGAAATGGCTGTGTTGATGTCTTTCTGTACCATGCTCTTAGGTTAGCAAGCCAGGATATTCTTCTTCGTCCTGGGTCCCTTTTTCCTTCAAGGTCCCCAAGGTTTCCCATTTTTCCTTCATATTTACCTTGTAAAATGCATTGAAGTAGCTCGTATTTGCCTTGATTTCTCATTATATGGCCCAAGCACTGAAGCTTACGGCCCTTCACAATGTTGACCAAATCCGCAGTTGTGTTCATCCTCCTCTGTACTTCTTCATTGCTGACTTTGTCCATGGTATCTTCAAGATCCTTCTGTATGACCAGAGCTCAAAAGCCTGAAGTTTTGATAAGGTTTTCGCCTTCAATGTCCACGTTTCTACTCCGTACACAAGCACTGAGTACACATAACATTTAAGTAGCCTTATTTTCGTTTCTAGGGTGAGGTCATGGCCTTTGAACACAGAACTCAAAGTCAAGAATGCACTCTTTGCCTTTCCGATGCGACATTTAATCTCTTGGGTATTGTCCCACGACTCATTGATAACTTATAGAACTTGATAACAAGAACTTATATTGTGAGACTCGTTCAATTCTCATTTGGTTCACATACAGATTTGCTCCAGTTATGTTTTCCTTGCTGATGATCATTATCTTGGTTTTGCAGGTGTTTATATGCAGTCCATATTTTCTACTTGTTTCCGTTATTTTGTTCATTCAATTTGGTATTGAATAAGGAAATTGAGTAAATATTGAGGTTAGATTCGTTGAAACGTCAAACGTTATAAGCCGCTGATTACAATCACAAAACAGTTGAGATAAATAATTGTAAGGGAAATGCTCAAGCCAGTTGAAGCATGTTCAGCCATCCTGCAAATTCCTCAAAATTTTGACCTCACAAATTTCCTTTAGGTACGCCCATGGCTAACAAATCCTTAGAAGAGTTATACTAAGCTTTATACTTACTACTACTATAGTATATAGTTATACTACTACTATACAAATCAATGTGTTTTGTTTATCCACTAACCCTTCACTTTATTATTTTATTTGTGTACAAGCCTTCCAGTGAAGCAGGCCAACTTGGCGGTAAATCGATTTGTTTAATTTTTAAAGGTGTAATGGGAAGCCGAGTAAATAGTATCTATCAATGATTATCCTGTCTCTACAGCATTTACAGGAGATGGAGATATAATAGAAAAATAATTATGTTTCAGTATGAGGTGGTTACAACAGCCGAGGCCTAGAACAGGGGTAGGTACTTGTAGTACATATTTTTTATAATTGCACGATATTTATTACGGCATTGAAGGACTATTCTCTTAGATACCAAAATTTACGCTAAGGAGTCGTTTAGTGTGTCTCTTTTTTATCTATGTTGTCTTCATCATTGTCTGCAGAGGGTGCATATACTTGGATTATATTTATTTTACGTTTTAAATGACAATTGAGAGACAGCGCCAATACTCGATCAAAGTAGGAAACAAAGTTCTTCTCTTCTTCTTCTTCTTATTGCGCCTTCTCCTTTCGAAGGTTGGCCATCCAAATGGCAATTGCAGCTTTAGAAACTACTGCACGAAAGGTGCTATCTCCTCAGGTCTTTCGCCCACGAGCTCTGTAAGAAAATTTACAAACAGCTTTTTGAGAATTCTTATCAACTATAAAGCCAACTCCCTGCTTGTGATTGGAGTTGTTGTTACCGGAATAATACATTGTTCTATTTCTGGTGTTACATTTTCCTGATTCAGGTCATTGTATATCGCTAATACCCAGTATTTTAATCTTCATTCTGCACATTTTCGACACAATGTTATCTAGTTTGCCAGATTGGTATAAACTTCTTACGTTCCATGTTATAATTTTCAAGGCTATGGAGTTTATTCTTATTTGTTTGAAAGGCATTTACCTTGATGACGACCTGAGAGGCCCTGTCTAAATCTGATTCGTCCTCCCCTGCCGGATCTTGGATTACGAGCTTCATGATCAATAAGTAAATTATCGACTAGTGGGTCCATGATGATTTTTACATATTTTGCTAACATTCTTTTATCCACATTGCGTATCACGGAGGTCAAACCAAGTTTCATCGTGACAAAAAATCTTAGTACTCCTTTATTTTGCGCAAACAATTTTGCTTCCGTATCACATATTGTGTAGATTTCATAATTACATACTCTTCTCCAATTTTTGCAACAATAGCACATTCTACTAAACTACGTCTTACAAGTAAGACATCGACAGTAATAAGTAGTAATGAGTAAGTAATCACAACAGAAATGAAACTAAAAATAACTCAGGTATTTAGAAAGTAACGAAATATTTATAAATAGAATATTTTATCAATCGTATCAATATTATTATAGCAACAGTGTGATCAGTAGTATTATCACCTATTCATGAACTATGGCAAATGAATTGAACTGATGTTCTTAAGTAACATGTTGGAATAGTGCAGATCAAACAAGTATATTGGTAGATAGAAGTGTGGAATATGAAATTTACTTACTTTTTCTGTTCGTAAAACATAATGGCAGCCGAATTCGTTGTCAATACGTGTAGAAAAACCGCTTTGACTCTTCGCCTTTCCGGAGTTACGAGTTGTTTCAGTAAAGAGTCAAGTAGCAATGAGGCTATACCATTCCTTCGGTATTCTTTGAGTACTCCTAGCGACAGAATGTACGCTATTTCGGAATCGGACAGAGATTTTGCCAAAATTCCCTTGTCTTCGTCATTTAAATTTTCGTACGCTTTGATTTTTGCAACGATCAAACCGATTATTTGATGGTTGTAGACGGCAGCCAATGAGTAAAATTTACTATAACAGAAAAATGCATATAATTACATTATAAATAGGGTAAATAAGGAAATATTGAGGAACGATAAAAAACGCTGTGCTAACAGCTAACTTTAAGTAATTAAGGAATCTATAGGTTGAATGCTCGAATAAATGAACTTTGATAAAATTAAAGGCATATATCGAGCACAATTTTATTAATTAAATCTTGCCAAGTACTTTCGCTTTTCTAAAGCATCATCAGGGGCATTTTGTCAGTTTTGGGCTATCCAACAAACGCAGAATGTAAAAAACATAACATTAAACATAAAATTGTACAAACACTACACTAAACAATAACATATAGTTTAAAATTATTTAAAAATTAGTTGAAACTACATTTTTGTCGGCAACAGGAGAGAGAATTTATTAATCAATCTGCCTAAAAAACAAAAATAAAAATATCTAAATTAAAATCAATGTTTTTTTTTGTAAGTTTAATATTACAAATTTAATTCCTATCTTGAAATGTTGAGATATATGCATAGATAAATAATCTGAATAATTTTCGAATTATCATCGTTACGGTATTCTAACAATAGAAATCAATAATAATATAAATATTTCTCTTTTCTTATTGATAAAATCGTCTTACAATTATTATGTTGTAATATCACAATCATTTTAAATTGTTTTCGTTTGAAAACATTTATAAGTGTTTTGTGGTAAAATTCTATTATTACAAGGGTTATAATAATAATGCGAACTAGCTAGATTATTTATAAACAATTAAAAAGTATTTATGAAAGGATGACGCGTTTCTCGTAGACGCATCGAGTTATGAACGACGACAGAGTTTCCCAAACTTATCTAAACCGCGACCTCTTTTTGCTAAAAAATTTGTTCGCGGCCCCCCAATTTCCCCCCACTCATTTATTCCATATTATTTGACAGAAAATAGCGTGCCTAATTTACAATTATCTGATGGTTTCTCAAATTTAATTTTACTTTACTGTTTAAGTTTAAATCAAAAACAATTATTTTATTTTAATACAATTATTTTAATGATTGCGATCTGTCCCACTAGTAATTAGTAGTAGGTACTTCTGCCAGAATAGCATTTACAATAAAATTAAATAATAAGAAGTCGACTGCACATTGTACACCGCGACATATTAGCTTGTGTCTACATCGCAAAACTCTTCCATGATAATCGCGAAAGCTCTCGCTACTAGATGGCACTCTGGAACGTTCTCGTAGCTCGTTTTGGCTTTATATAAGCGGCGATGCGCAACGATACCTAAGTTCGAATCCAAATAGCCTATGGTGGCGAACGCGGTGTTGAGTAATGAGTAAATATTTTACGACTTACGTATTCCCGTTTACGTATTTACGTCTACGATAAATTATAAATTATGGATAAGTTTTTAAAAAGAAGTGCAGAACCATCTACGTCTGAAAGTAGCAACAAGAAAAACAGATTCTACATTGATGAATATCTTAAATATGGTTTTACCGTTATTTCCAATAAACCCCAATGTGTTATTTGTGGACAAGTCTTGTCAAAAGAAAGCATGAAGCCATCAAAGTTACTTCGACATTTAAATAGCAAACATCCAGATAAAAAAGACAAGCCCGTAGAATTCTTTGAAAGAAAGCTGAACGTCCTTCACAAACAGCAAGACAGTTTTCCCTTGGCAACCACTACTAATGAAAAAGCATTATTAGCAAGTTCTAAAGTTTCTTATCGTGTTGCAAAACTAGTATCCGCACACAATTGCTGAAATCTGATTTTTCCAGCAGCTGATGAAATGATACATATAATGTGTGGGGAAAGAGAGGCTGCAAAATTAAATACAATACCTCTCTTCAAATGGACGAATCCACAGATATATCTAACTGTGCCCAATTCATTACGTTTTAAGATATGATACAAATAATGGCATTCAAGAAGATATTTTATTTTGTTCCCATTGGAGACCAATACCACTGGAAAATGTTTACTCGACCCTTTTGTGAAACATACAAGTACATATGATATTGACTGGGGTAAATGTATTGCTATATGCACAGATGGCGCTAAAGCTATGACAGGACATAATCTGGTCTTGTCGTCAAATTACAAGAAAATATATGCCAAATGGAGACATTGTTTTTTACATCGAGAAGCTCTTGCGTTCAAAGCTTTACTCCTGAAATGGACTGTGTTATGAAAACCATCATTAAAGTTGTAAATTCCATTAAAGGAAAAACTTTGCAGACCCGTATTTTTAGAAAAATTTGCGCAGACAAGGGTGCTTTATTTGAAAATCTTCTATATCACATCAAAGTAAGGTGGCTTTCAAGAGGCAACGTCTTAAAAAGAGTATTTCACTTAAGAGCAGAGCTTTTAATGTATTTGAAAGATGAGAAGTCCCCATATGAAAAATTAATTTTCCGATCTATTTGGCTTCTGAAACTAGGTTTCCTTGCTGATATTTTCGAGCAATTAAATATTTTGACACAGTAATTTACAAGGTCGCGACATTAATATAATTACAGACACAGATAAATTACGGCGTTTCTAAGAAAAATCGATTTATGGTCGACTCACTTGGCAAAAAACAACTCGATTCATTCGAGTGCCTTCAGGAAATTATGGAAAATGTATCCAATTACAATGCTACAAATTTTGAACAAGTTTTTGCTGACATGCATGTTACTTTGTTCAATTTAAAACAACAGCTCTGTGATTATTTCCCGAAGAAATTCAAAACAGTTACGACAGTTGCAGATGGATACTAAATCCGTTTTTTAGCCGATCCTTTCAGCATGTTGAAATAGAAATAAACATGAAAGAAAAAACTTATTGAAATATCAAGTGATGGAATGTTGAAGCTCAATTTTTTCCCAGAACTCGGACCAATTTGGACCGAAAAGATGCAGAAATACCCCCAGTTGGTGAGTGAAGCTGTAAATGTTTGGTTCCATTTGTAACATCATATTTGTGTGAGTTAAGTTTCTCGTCTATGACTGCCATTAAACAAGAGTTAGAAATCGTCTCGTACTTGAAAATGATATAATTGTGTGTGTCTCAAATACACAGCCTAGATTTGAAAGATTAGTTTCACCGAAACAGGCGCATAGCTCTCATTAAGATTATACTATTTGACTTTGTTTTACTCTTTTATTTTTACGGACTTTAATATTTAGTTTTATATTTCGTCTGATAATTAATTGTTAATTTGGGCGTTGTTAAAATAAAAATACATGATCTAACAAAGTGGTGCTTTTGTCTTATTTTGGAAATGTTCGGCGACCCCCCTAGTAGCTCATGGCGACCCCCACTTTGGGAAACACTGATGTACGAAAATGTTTTACATAGAATAGGCCAGGACCAAAAGCTGATTTGAACAGTAAAATATAGAAAACATATTTTCGTCATATAATGAGAAACAAACAGATGTAAAACAAACAGAGGGCTCTAGTTAGAGGACAGAAGCCGATGCCTACTCATGACATAGTCTGCAGTCTCAAGGGCTTAGCATCAATACCAGAGACCGGTAGCTACAGTCGACGATCAGGTAGGGTCGGCGACGTGTAACGATTTATTGCTTTCATTCATTGCGATTGATTGTTCAGCGATTGATTCATTGTACTGAGTGCCTTGCGGAATCGGCACACAACAGAAGTTGAGTTTCAACAATCCTTGAGAAATGTACGAGGTGTCATCATCACTCAGTGAACAGTTAGAAGACTTAAGGCTGCCACTTTGACTTCCAGATGAGCTAACATAGAGCCCAAATTGAGCTTACTTCAGAAACAAGCTCGACTTCAATTTGCCCTAGAACACGTCAACTGGGATCTTGGTCAATGGAGCAGAGTTTTATTCTCTTATCGAGAGTTGAATGTAGTTGTATAACAATAACAGAAGACGACGCATCTATCGGAGGTCCTGAGAAGGATTTGTCTAGTGCTGCAGTTCCGAAACAGTGAGCTATAGAGGTGGTTCGTGTATGTTTTAGGGTGGTATATATTTGGAAGGAAAAACAGAGCTTGCGTTCGTTCCCGGTGGTGATCCATGTTGTTCCTTACGTCGGCTACATAGGCGACGGCTTTATGTCAATGCATGATAACGCTCGATGTCACACAGCGCGGATTACGAGGATTACCTGGCCAACAGCAATATAACAACAATGGACTGGCCTCCATTGAGTCCGGATATGAATACCATCGAGCACCTATGAGATGAACTTAAACGCAGGGTTCGGGTCCGTAATTCAGTACCAACGACAGTGGCGGAGCTAAAAACTGCATTAGATAAAGAGTGGAATCGGTCAGAAACTTAATAAAAACTACTCAGAGGAGGAAATACTCAGTATTAATTTTGATTTTTTATGATTTTACTTTAATATTTATTACAAAATGACTTTCATTCATAACATGTTTTCTCACATACAATATTAAGTTATGTTTGTTATGTTTTTTACTTACTAACTTAATAAATATTAGTGTCATTGCAATAAAAATTCGACAAACAACGTAGTCGAAAAATATAACTTATGTTATTAGTTATTTTTGTAAAACAATTTCCTGTCTCATCAAAGAATTTACAAAACAGACCTCGTATATGATTAAATAAGACTTGTCCTCGATTAATATACTCCAAAAACAAAAATGCGTTAAATCCTTTTAAGGCATTAACTAAAGCACAAATGTTATCAACAAATGTTACAAAACATTTTACATATGTGACAACATTTGCTATAAAACGGCCTAGACCTGATATTGACGGTACCAGTTACAGTTTCATTCAGCTACGCATCTGTGCAAACTCTTGCTAAAGGCCACTGGTACTGTTCTATTTAGAATTGATTTTCATAAAATTAATTTTAAAGTTTATTGTTATTTTAAACATTGACTATATATTTTAACCATCCACTACAGATCAATCTATATATTCTATTTTTGTTTTTTTTTTTTAATTTAATTTGGAATAATTATGCTGTTATTTTCGCATAAAGGAAGAGTCAGGATTAGTTCAAATGCTTGTTTCTTAAAAATATATGAAAATGACATTGTTAATTGTTATGGTACATTTCAGATGTAGGGTTAGCCGACAGGCAAGAGAATCAACCAAGAAAGGACATTTTAGATCTGGGAAATCTGAAAAGACTGAAACTAAAAAGAAATTTGAAGAAAAATAAAGAGGAAGCTGAAAAAGAAATGAAGACGATCATTAGAAGACCAGTGGAACCTAATAAGTAGAAGCACATTAACTGTAGCAAAATCGAAGCTAGGAACAAAAAAAAGTGGTAATGTAGACCAGCGAGAAGTTTCATACTATGTTTCTGTATTTTTAAATAAAAAAAAATATGAAACATTCCAAAAATCAAAATAACAAATTATGGTCATTTTTGACAATTTGTTCCCTAACGGCCACACCCTAGTTAGGTACACAAATGGACTCTTCCGCTGTGACTGTATAAATATGAAAATGTTTTACTAATAACTCTTTTTATTGTACTTTAATACAACAGTCGAACTGCTAATTTCAAAAATCCAACATTATATTTATATGAAATTATGTATATTTATATAAAATTAGGAAAATATTAATAAATATCATTTGATACTAAATTTAATTATTACATAAACTAAATAATATCTTTAAAAATCATAGTTGTATTTATATGAAATTATTTTAAACGAGAATTATTATAAAAATTTAAACAGATGATTCAATGTTGTTAATAATCGGATGACATTAATGACAGCATTTTATTACAAAGAAAAAAAGTAATACAATGCCATTACAGAGACCTATACATATATTCAGAGACCCAATGTCACCTAAACTTTTTAATACTGTGCTGGAACATGCTTTTTAGAATTTGGATTAGCTGACAAAGAGAATAAATTATTTCACTGATGATATAGTCATAATAGCTGAGTACTTAGGGATGACAAGAGACATGGTACAGAATTTTGTTGTGGATACAGAAAATGATTACCTATTAGGAAGAATACAACTTACCTTTGTTAACAGGGTGAATACTCTGTACAACAAGGGTGTACATATGTGAAATTATGAGTATAATTTCAGTGTATGAGGACTGTATTACATAGGCCTGGTTCAAATAAATTAGGATGTGTAGTAAAGGGTTATACAGATTAGAGCAAATTAAGTTTATACAAAGTCTTATCAACTCTTCTGTGCACACACACTCCGGTATTTACAGGCTTTCACTAGCGGTTGTTCTTCATATAGGGAAGCTGTCCGGGTACCGATTTCTGAACATGTGTCTCGCGGTACTAACACTGAGATCACGAGATAAAGTATATTTGCATCTGTATATGATTTAAAACATTATTTGTGGTATTTTTCGCGTAACTATACGCGGAAGAGAGGGAATGTCTGTTGTTAGCGACAGTCTACAGTAGAGAGAATACCTCTGTTACTAACGATAGTCAACAGGAGAGAGCGTCTGTTCCAAGCGATAGGTAACAAGCAAGAAAGAGCGTCTGTTCCAACGATAGGTAACAGGTAAGAGGGGGTGACTGTTCCAGTAATAGGTAACAGGCAAGAGACTGTTTTCTTGTTTGCTATCTTACAACTGTCTGTATTTCTATTGGAGTGGGGTTGAAATGTGAGATAGGAAAGGTTGAAGAATGGGAAATAATTGTAAAATTCTGGTAGAATGATAGTAATAAAGCGGAAAAATGACATGAAAAAATTGAACATGCTCAACTGTCCAATATTAACTGACTCAACTGTCCAACTTTAGTACATAGCCATGATACCTAATTAACTCGAATTTGGGAAAAAACACCACAAATAACCATCTCCATGCTCTTTGTGTGCTTTAAAATACAGCTATAAAAAATCTTTATAGACTACCAAGACTCTTCCCAACAAAGGAACTATATCTACCCAATAAGATTATGGACATTCAATCAATGTATATATACCAAGTATGTACGTTCCTACACCAGTGTCCAAATGGAGAAGTTTCACTCTAATATGGAAACAACTGCCACTCATCAAGTTCACAACTATATGGTAAGAAATAGATTCCACTTTAGAGCTACTTATCCTGGACACTGTGAAGGCAATGAACATCAATGCCTTCAAACGAAAATTAAAAAATCTAATTTATGAGAACAATTTTCTAACCTGCTCACACTGATATTTTTTTACATTTGTTGTTTTTTTGTTTCCATGTTTTAGTTAAAGTTTAAGTTTTCTTTAGGTTAAATAAATATCAATAATGATAATATCTGTACACCAAATACAGATTGTTTGCACAATTTAATCTCATCTACATATTAAAAAAATTTTAATGTGTCAAGTAATATTAGTGTTTGTTTTATATATTTTTTTCCAATTTGACCCACATATCCTTAGGGTCTGTAATTGTATATTTAGCATTTTTATAAGTGACATTTGTACTTTCATGGAATAAATAAATAAATGTAGGTTTACATATAAATATCTCGAAAACATAAACAAATACACAAATTTTACAGAAGTAATATTCATAGATAAATATAACATACATACACTTAAACAAAAGCCTCAGCTACCACACTCAGAGTTACACAGAGAAGAATTCAGCGATCCATGTTAGGAATAACTGCATGACAAAATAAAAAATGAAGAGGTCAGAAGAACCAAGGTGACTGATATCGAAAAAATAGCCAGACTAAAATGGAGATGGGCAGGACACAGCTAGAATGACACATGGGCAATGAACAAAGAGGCTATTGGAAAGGAGACTAAGGGAAGATAAGAGAAGTGTCCGTCAACCACATACATGATTGGTTCACGATTTAAGAAGAAAAAACAAAAACTGGATGAGAGTGGCACATGATAGGTGGAGTTGGAAACTTGAGGAAGAGGCCTACGTTCAGCAGTGGATTTTTGAGGCTGGATGACGAAGGCACATACACTCACATATTTTATCTACTTAAGCTATGGTCTGGTCTTTTAATTCTAATCTGACACCTAAGTGTCTTAAGACTTTTTGAAATTTTATTGTATCAATCTTTGCATATATTTAACTTTCGGCTCTTGAAAATCAGTCTGGGTTATTTCAGAAGTCCAAGTTAGCAGAATATCACTTGTCATTGGACAGCACAGTATGTTTATTATAACTTTTCTATTTATTGTTTATAATGGCTTCAATGCTTTTTAGAATATTATTTGGATACTCTTGTGCCCAAAGATGTCATGTTAAATTAAAAAAAACCAACTTAACTAAAACTCTAAAACATCAATTTTGATTTTTTTTCTCACCCACTTGTTAGCATTATCCCATTAGTAAGAATTACTATAAATCTATAGATGCTTTAATGCAGAATGTAAAACAATATAAACTCTCAAAGAACACTATAGAATGTTTTATGATGAGTGGCCACTGAATATACTAGAAGAATCTCAATATATATTGAGTGCCAAATTAAAATAGTAAAAATATTTATCTACTGTTTAAAAAGTGGTAAAGGATATAGAATAAAGGAGCTTATATAATTTCTACCTTTAGATTTTTTGAATTTTAAAAATTACATTTTTATATTAAACTTTAAAATGTTACTAGTGTGTAAAATTTTTGCTGAAACCCTTTATTTCCCAGATTCCCATTGTTTGTATTAATCACAATCATGAATCACCAAAATTAAATGAATTTAATCAATATGCACTTGGAAGTTTAAAATAATTATAGTACCTAATAAAATACTTGATGTTGTTCATAATTGAATTAACCTAAATTACAATTAAATAACTCACCCACTAGTAGAAGTAATCTGTTCATACCAATAAAAAGGGTACTCAATGGGAAACCATTCTTGACACAGGGCTCTCACCTCATCCAAATCTTCAGGGCACAAAAATCGTAGCTGTACATCAGCCAAAGAATATAAGGAAATAATTCTTTCACTCTTGCTAGAAGATCCCTCAGAACATTTCCCATTGGATTGGTACCTTTAAGATAAAATAGTATATATATTTATATATTTTAATAGGTTATGTACTTACCAATTTATATCTGCCATTGTGATACTAGTTAATAAACGTATCGAACCAAATGAAAATTTTCTTTCATTATTAAACAGAAAAATTTGGATGATTGATAATATTTTGTCATAATAACTATTTTGAAGTTGAATAGTAATATCTGTGATAGAGTAGTGGCTTTTGTAATTTATGACATCTGTCAAGTGTCTATTCTATTGTATTGAGAGCACACCACACACATTATCCATATCAGTACCGGGTTTTCCCTACTATTCATCACTTTTTGACAATATTTTTTTTAGATAGATAAGTTTCTTTATTAATATTATATTACTAAGATGCATTAAATTCCATATATTAGAATAGTTATCATCTAACTTGTTTCGTTTTTCCTCTTATCTGACTGAGATCGAGATCTTCAAGAGTTACAGTGTGAAACGGATTCCACCCCTTTCCATCAGCAGAGTTTTCGCGTTTTCTGTTTTTCTATAAATACAATTCCAGACCGCAAAAGTTCCCACTCATGGGGACACATGTGCAACACTTCAAAAAATAAAATACAAGCGGCACACAACAACGGCCTAAGAGAAGCAGTCAACGTACCGAGATACGTAGCGGAAAGATTCCTCTTTAGAGAATTGTAACAAATCAGAGTGACTGACACAATGAAAGAAAAAGCTAGGATTAAGTTCGCGGAGATAGAGAACGACCCCAGTCACATTCTGCGAGAGATAATGGAGTATGACGCTTTCCATAGATGAAAGCACAAAAGACCCAAACAACTAATAGTAGACTAAAACAATAATACCAGAGAGAAAATTTAAATATCACACCAGAGAGAAAACAAAACACTAGAGAGAAAACACTTCAAAAACAACAACAATGCACAATGAAGTTAGTTCGTACCTCAAAAACACCCATGGACAATCGCCAAATACAAAGTGGGCCCGGTTACCATAAAGAGGACAAGCTCTATATTATTATATTGTTATATATTTTCAGTGTCATAGTATATATTATTATTATATATATATATATATATATATATATATATATATATATATATAATATATTATATATATATATACTATATATATTGCACCATGATACTATGAACTAAAGATAAACCCACGCGCACGCGACATGATACCACAGTATAGACAGTTGTTATTTATACTGTGATGATACTATAACAAGATATGCTCACTTGCCGTTCCAATTTTTTGATAGACTTTGCGCATGATGTCATAGCGAGACAAAGCCAGGGGACTTGTATGTAACATTTTTAACGATGCACCATATGGCAACGTTGTTCCATTACAGTAGATAACGACCAACTTCGAAACTTAAACTGTTAACGGTAAGTATATCTCGATGCCATATCTTGCACTAAGAAGTCATAACTAGTTACTTTCTGTGAAAACGTGTTTTGAACATTAATTAAATAAATTGTAAAATTAATTAAAGAAATATATGAATCTACGATTTGATTGTGTGTATTACAACCTTTGCAGAGTTGTCACGGAGTGGTATCAACGTGGTATATTACAGTTATACGGTTGTCGCTTGAAGGAGGATTAATTTAACCCATTATAAGCTTATCATTTAATCAGATATATTCTAGCCGAAGTCAAGTAACAACATGAATATCCCTGTTGGAGATTTATTATTTACTCGGTTTTATTGATGCTTTCGTGATGCTTTCACTTTGCGAAGTTTCTATTTTATAATGCTAGAATTTGTTTTGCCAAACATTTTCGACCTTCATTTTAACAAACGAATTCGAATCATTCAGTAATACATTTTAAGTTCATTTGCAGTTTAGTTTCCCTAGATGTTGCTCTTTTTTCACTACATTTTTATGGATGATATTCTACAGAGGTTGATATTTTCCTGCCAATAACACATGATGATTAATTATAATTTCTTTTTTTTTTCATTATTTGAATGCTTTTAAATTTTATATTTTATACCTCTATTATTCTTCTAATAAACTATGTAAAAGAATACAAGCAACACAAGCTGTCACAAGAAGGATCATATATTATAGATTTTTAAAATTTTATTTTTCATTTAATTTCATATTTATATTTCTATAAATTCGACTAAAATAAAAAGCTATTACGGTTCTGTTCGGAAGATGTGAGTGTGTTGAATAAACTTCAAAATTTAAAGTAAGGTTATGTCCAAGCGATTTAAATTTGAATTTGAATATTTTTATTTCAGAGAATATCATGGTTGTAGCATTGGGTTTCGAAGGAAGTGCAAATAAATTAGGTATAGGAATAATTAAGGATGGAAAAGTACTTTCAAATTGTAGAAGAACCTATATTACACCTCCGGGTGAAGGTTTTTTACCCAAGGAAACAGCACAACACCACAAGGAAAACGTTTTAGTTGTATTAAAAGAAGCTTTACAGGAATCACAATTAAAGCCTGAAGATATAGATGTCATTTGTTATACAAAAGGTCCTGGAATGGGAGCTCCCTTAGCCACTGTCGCTGTTGTTGCACGGACTGTAGCTCAGTTATGGAACAAGCCACTTCTTGGAGTAAACCACTGTATAGGACGTATCCTTTAAACAGTCCATAATCATGCAAAATATGGCTTTTATTGAATCTTAAAATGTGTTTGAATATTTTTCTGTTTCTTAAATGCTGGCGCAGACTTTCAGTAAAATTCATAAAAATAATTATACCAATCAAAAGGTCAGAAAATATGGGAAATATAGTATAAGAATCAATAGATACATATTGTAACCTTTAGGAACATTGTTCAGTGTTTCCTAATAGTAGTAAATATTATATTTTTAACAGAACTGATAAATAATAATTTATACAGTAAGTAATACAAACCTTAACGCATTTTCATACTGATAAAATTGTATCATTTGTTCTTCAAAAATAAAAAAGAATCAATATTTTATTATAAAAGAGTTGAATATAAATATCAGTGATACTATTTCTAACTCAAATTAAAAACTGAAAACTAAAGGAATATTTTTCTGAATTTTTTGGGATAAAAAACGTTAAGTAAACTCCTGGAGTGAAAAGGTAATGTAATAGTCAATAATCATCTAACTGTATAGTCAGTGATGATTGGTGTACATTCATTAGGTGAGGTGCTAGCATCCCAAAGTTTATTTTTGTAGAAGTATATCTAACTGTATGTACTGCACAATTTATACTATTCACACAACTAAAAAGTGTCCCAGTGACCTTGCAAAAGCCATGAGTAGCAGTAGACAACTGTGAAGTGTTGTAAGATTGATCTGTTGTACTTTCATTGCTTGTAGTTCTAATCATATTTTGTTTTCTTAATTTATTGTTAGACATCGAGATGGGTAGACTAATAACAGGAGCCAACAATCCCACTGTTCTCTATGTTAGTGGTGGTAATACTCAAATCATAGCTTATGCAAGGAAAAGGTATAGAATTTTTGGAGAAACTATTGATATAGCTGTTGGTAACTGCTTAGATCGATTTGCAAGAGTATTGAAAATTTCTAATGATCCTAGTCCAGGCTATAATATTGAACAATTGGCTAAAAAGGGATCTAAATATGTATTATTGCCATATTGTGTCAAAGGTATGGATGTTAGTTTTTCAGGAATATTGTCTTTTATGGAATCAAAAACAAAAAGTTTACTGAGCGAAGGTTCACTACCTGAGGATCTCTGTTTCTCTTTACAGGTTGGTAAATGTTTCTTAATAGGGCATTCTATAACTTTGTGGCTAAACAAAAAAAACTGTTTCATACTCAAATCATTTGAATCTTTAATATATGGAACAATTTGGATCAAAATCACCATATCGGCAGCTAGTGTTAACATCTTTAAAAATAAACTTGACAGCACTTTATTTTTTTTATAGGATAGGATCTTTTTTCTCGGACAGCATTATTTATTTATTTATTGTGTCACTATTCAATTTTCGTTAATTGTTTAACTACTTAACTTTATAATTAGTATTAGTTTTATAAGGATCTATTTTATTTTGTTTATTTTTGCTTTTTGGGCATAATAGGAGCTCGCTCCTCTGCCCTTATTTGTTATATAATATTAATAATAATAATTCAACCAGAACATTTATGCAAAATTCTAGGCTAATAAAATCATTTAATTCAATGAAAAACTTTCCAGGTAAAGATTTTTCAGTTTTGAAAACATATTGCAGATAAAATTGCTGTGAGCTTAATCTGAGAAGTAGAATGATTAGTAGAACACTAATTCAAACCTCAATTACTTGCGAGCATATCCTTTCTTTTTGTCACATGATCTAAATACTTTTAATCAATTTGATCTCAAATTGTTACAAGCACTGGAAATGCAAATTAAATATGAGTGAAATATTCTCATTAAGCATCTTCAAAAAATTTATACAGAAATCGTCATACAAAATAGACTCACTAGAGAATGTAAAACAGCAATAATATTAATTTTATACCAGAAGAAGAGTTGCAAGGTTTCAGAACAAGTTGATTCTGCACAGATGTAGACTTAAGCTGATTTGCTATGTATATAAGCTCTCCAACATACATATACTTAATCTAATTTACTTATTGTTGCATGTCATCTATGTCATATTCCGTGAGGTCACATGATACCAACACGAAATATTTAGGCGGTAGGTGTATTCTTTTTTATAATTACTTTGCCGAGTCCACTGGCATTACAGCCACTAGACATATTTTATTATATAGGCGTAGAAATAATATTTAAAGATTTCTATTAATGCTAACTTAAACAAATTCACATAAATGTTTCATTTAATGTGTATAAATGCATTATAAACCGTTTTTATGAAGAAACATTTGTTCGGAACACACTGTAACTGTAATCGCACGAAGGTGATTTTGGCATAAATTGGTAACACTTATTGACCGTTGTGGTGTTGACACTTTTTGTACTTTATTATTTTGAATTTTAAAACTCAAAACACTTTAAGAACTCTTATATTTTTAACTATAACAGAGACAGAATTTACTACTGGGATCGCTTCTCTGCTCGTTTCCTTTATATTATTTGGTTAGAGCTTATTCACACCTGTCCCTTATACTCACAGAATCGTATCCATTAGGCATTGGAACATGTAGAGTTGGAGATGAGAATTTCCCCAGCTAATCTCTTCTGCACATAGTCTCTCAGACTGAGACGAGTAATAAACATATACAAAGACAACATAGTAC